AATACATACATAATATATACATAATTCACTGTGACATATGTAAATATGTACATTTCACTAAACCAAGAAAACCCTGAATGTGTATTGCTCTTCAGTGTCTTCAGAGATAAGATTAAAAGCCAACAGATGTCTTTATAATCAACAGAGTTGTTTTGGGAAGATGTGGGATGTTTAATTTCCTTTGTTGTGTTTACGAAATAATGTTCAAAAAGCTGGATTTGGAATTTTGACAACATTTATTTCACAGTTCCACTGAAATCAAACATGATTATTGTAGGCTTTGCAATGTCAGATGCGCATGATCTTATATATTCAATCAATTGTACTTGAAACATGATAGATAATTAATTTCTACAAATAGGGTACAAAATATGGAATGAAAAAAAGATCTTTATGTCTAGATACAATTTTAAAATATAAATTTGTTCTTTTAGCAATAAACTATAAATACATTTTATTAAATTAGGATTAAATGCTTGAGTTAAATAGTTTAGTTAAAATATTTTTTATATATATATATATATAATTAAAATACTGTAGTGTGATTCTGAGATGTACCCTACATGTGAAAAGTGTCTCATAATAAGCTTTGAACTTATGCTGGATCAACATTAACACATTTTTACCGCTAGAAAAATCATGTTGATCCCTATTTTTGAAATCAGAATAAAACACTAATTTTGAAAAGCAAGAAGCAATAAATATATAAAAAGCACAGTAGAGCACAACACAGCCTTTCAACACACGTCAACATATACTCTCAACGTCATAAGAACAAAAATATGTATTTTGGTTCAATCACATATGTTAGGTTGGAAATTCTGTCAATGTTTGTGTCAGGTGCATTTTACACAGCATCTCTGACATGAGCCATCCTTGACTGCAATTCGTTTCATCACAACTGCACCAACACCCAGTAATCTCTGCTAGCTGCTGGAGAGCTGAAAAATTCACTTAAATTAGAGATTCACTGGATCAAAACACAAATCTAATTCAGTCTCTCTGTCTATATGCCAGCCTTCTAATATACCTAAAACAAGAAAATGGCAAATAGGCAGCTACATGCAAAAACGCTAATATGTTGCATGCCAAGCTGAAATAATTGTGTAATTATACAGAGGAAAATGCCAGTTTGCTTTGTTTCTTAAATAATATAGCATCCTTACATAAACTGTTTTAATTTAACCAGGAATGGAGGAGAGATAGGTCTGGCTTATGATAAATGATTGACAAATGTGTGAGCTAGATTGAAATTCTCTAAATCTATCTGCCCTATATAACTGGATAGAAGATGAACTCTGCCATCTGGATCCTTAAAATCCGCATGCATATTATTACACTCTGAGCTTTGTATCTGTGTCTGTGCACGGGAATAATGAAACATACACATGCACACATTAAGAGTGGCATTGTAAGATAAAAAAAAAAACATGCCTTTCATGTTTTTGCAACATTAAAAAAATGCTTTGTATTTTCATAACAGTTAAGACAAAAAGGATTTGGGGGTGAAATGTATGAAAAATTGCTTTTGCCATGGGATAAAAAATTAAACGTGCAACTTTTTATCTCACAATTCTGAGTTATATCTCACAATTCAGACTTTTTTGTCTGAAGATATAAACTCGCAATTCTGAGAACAAAAGTCAGAATTGTGAGATAAAAAGTCACTTTTTATCATTTAAAAAATGTGAGATCAGTCAGAATTGCAAGGAAGTCGGAATTTTATATCTTGTAATTCTGACTTTATCACAAACCTTAATAAATCACCTTACATGATTCATTTAAATGCATTGCAAATGTTTCACTGCGTGCCTTTAGTAAATCCTGATGGTAGTTTTTTAACGCCAATGAGGGATTGCGCTGGTGCAAGCTGTTAGTAAATCTGGCCCTTGTGTTTTTAATGACATGCTTGGTAAGAGCGACAAGGAGTTTTTATTAGACTTGAATGAATGCATTGCTAACTTTAATAAAAAATAAAAAACTATCTAGCAATTAAGGTGTCCCTGGTGATTTTTTACACCAAGCATTATTTGTCCCTAGTTCTTAATTATTTTCATGTATCAAGTATACTGGGAACACACTGCAAGATTTGTATTAAAAAGGCATTTCACCAACTTGAATTCTTGAAAAAAAAAAAAAATTATTAATGAACTTTTGGGAAGTCCAAACCAAACTCCCAGTGCACCTTATCAAATATGCCAAGGTTATTTACATGTCTGAATAACGGATCTTAATCTCTGATTAAAAACAAACTTTTTTTCGGAATGTTAAATTGTTAAGAAGTGATAGCAAAGATTTATATTGTTAGAAAAGATTTATATTTTGAATAAATTATGTTCTTTTTAACTTTTTATTCATCAAATACTCCTGAAAAAAGTATCGCAGTTTCCCAAAAAATATTTGGCAGCACAACTGTTGCCAATATTGATAATTCTAATAATAAATCAGCATATTAGAATGATGTTTTAAGGATTACACTTTAGACTGGAGTAATGGCTGATGGAAATTCAGCTTTGCATCACAGAAATAAATTATATTTTAAAGGATATTAAAATAGAAACCATTATTTTATATTGTAATAACATTTTGCAAGATTACTGTTTTTTTTCTGTATTTATGATCAAATAAATGCAGTCTTGATGAGCATAAGATACTTCTTTAAAAAGCATTAAAGTCTTACTGATCGCAAACTTTTGCCCGTTAGTGTGTGTGTGTGTGTGCTTTGCATCACAGAAATAAATTATATTTTAAAGGATATTAAAATAGAAACCATTATTTTATATTGTAATAACATTTTGC